TATATTCATATTTATATTTATAACAAATAAAATAATCTATGTATATATATATATATCTTGACCCATAAGCCAAACGTCTGCAAAGCCTGAACTTACCACAGGCTAGAGCTCTTTAGAGCCAGAGGCCCTTTGCAGGAGTATGTCTGTCCACACCTACTCTATGCTCTCCGCACTCCTCAACTCGACCTTGAAAAACCGTAGGCTTAGGGTTTAGGGTTCAGGGTTTAGGGTTTAGGGTTTAGGGTTTAGGGATTATGGGGTTTAGGGATTATGGGGTTTAGGGTTCAGGGTTTAGGGTTTAGGGCTCCCCCACTCCCCAAGGCCGTCAACCCCCCCACTCCCGTGTAGCAACCCTAAACCTCAGCCCCGAACCCTAAACTTTAAGCCCCAACCGCAAACCCTAAACCCAAACCGCAAACCCGAAACCCTCAACCCCAGACCCCAAACCCAAACCCCAAACCCCAAACCCCAAACCCTAAACCCTAAACCCCAAACCATGGTGAGCCAACCCCCGTCGACGCGGCGCAGGTGGCGGATGAGGCGGAGCTCGCCGAGCTTGTCGGCAAGTCGCTCCCTCGCTTTGACGAGGCTTTTCAGGGACGTGGTTTAGTATATGATTCGGATGTTATATTGTAATAGCAAATGATATTAAGGGTGTCACTCTCCTCGTTTTCGGATTGGAGGCTTTAGGGTTTCGGGCGCAGGGGCCCTAAACCGGAAGCAATGATGTCCCAAACTTTAGGCTACAAAGCTGACCCTAAACCTGAAGACTGAGGCCGACACGGGGCCTAGCTAGGGTGTAGTAGGCTTTTGGATCCGAAACCTCTAAATTCTAAACCCGAAGCCCTAAGCCAATCAGAGCTTATGAGGCTGAAAGGACCCCTCCTACACAGGGACTGGCAGCCCTCCCGGTGAGGGGTCTGAGGTCTTGTTGACCTGGAAGCCTACATCCGCATGGCGCCCGAAACAGATCCCTCCCTTCATGGGATCCTCCATTGGACCGCTAAGCTTGTACCCTTACTACATCCCCTTGGGAATTATTTTTTATTTTTGTTAAAATAAAACCCAAGAGGATATTAAACATATTATTTTTATTAAGGTTCTAAGGAGAGTATAGCTTAAGTTTGGGCCATCCGAGAGTAGGGGTACCTTATTTGGGTCTTTATTAGAAAGGAAACCTACTACAGGGTTCCGTTATTTTCCGTATACTCCCATATTTGGAGTATATATTAAGGGAACCTCCTATAGGGGTGGCATCCTTACGGGCCGGGCCCCTCACTGCTGCAAAGCGTCGTTGCGCGAAACTGATGCTGTTTGGCTCAGCCTTCAGGACCCTAAACCCTAAACCCTAAACCCTAAACCCTAAACCCTAAACCCTAAACCCTAAACCCTGAACCCTGAACCCTGAACCCTGAAGCCCTAAGCCATGAAACCCGAGGTAAGTCTGCCCCGATGATTAAGGCTACTTATAAGGGATAGTGAAGCGTTTCATGGGAACCCAGGGGTGGTAGTATGGGGGGGTAGTAGGGAACCCATGACAGACCCTGTAGGGAGAGGCCCCCGAAGTCTAAATAGAGCTCTGGGGGCCTGGTGGCCTGGAAGCATGGTAACTTGAAGTCACTTGCCCCCTAAAACCCCAAACCCTAAACCCTGAACTCTAAACCTCAATCCCAGTACTGGTACCCAGCTTCTCTTGCCGCCATGCGGCGGGGAGTGCGCTGGGCCTTGATGGCGTTGTGCGCGCTTCTTGGCGCTCCGCTTTCGCCCAGGGCATTTGGGCTCAGGGTTCTCATAGGTTTAGGGTTTAGGGTTTAGGGTTTAGGGTTTAGGGTTTAGGGTTTAGGGTTTAGGGTTTAGGGTTTAGGGTTTAGGGTTTAGGGTTTAGGGTTTAGGGTTTAGGGAATGACATGGTTTAGGGCTTAGATACCTTCTAGGGCAAGGCTTCATGGGGCATATTAATGTTCAGCACCCCAAGTTGCCTTGTTGTGGCTCCAATTCCCCAAAAAACCCATTGTCAGACAAGGGCTCAATTTCCCCTAAGCCAAAGACTCGAAGCCCTAAACCCTGGGGGAACCTTGAGGATCTATTCCCGATATTTCCCAGTAGACCCGACATCCAATAAACCCGATGCCGGATCTGCTTCTCGCGGTTTTCAAGGTGCGTACCCCAAACCCCGAGTTAGAGGAGAGCCGGGGCAGACCTGGCCCAAGTCAGATCCATCTAGTCTAGGGTTTGGGGGTTTTGAGTTCAGGGTTTAGACTTCAGGGTTTGGGGTTTAGAGTTTTGGGTGCAGGGTTAAAAGCTCGCAGTCAGGACATAAGAGCCAACCCACGCGTGTGTAAGTTACAAAAGGACCCCGAATAGGCCCCTGTTCCCATCTTTTGGGTTTAAGTTCCCTTATTTTAAACCAAAAAGGGCCTGTTTGTTCCAAGGTGTTTCGTGGGTCACCCTAAACCCATAAACCCTAAAACCCTGAATCCCTAAACCCTAAAACCCTACACCCTAAACCCTAAAACCGTCAACCCTAAGCACTAAACCCTAAAACCCTGAACCCTAAAACCCTGAACCCTAAAACCCTGAACCCTAACACCCTACACCCTAAACCCTAAAACCCTGAACCCTAAAACCCTAAACCCTCTTGGGCCAAGGCTCCTGACCAGACCGGCCCTCCGCACCTTCGCCTGCGCACGAGCTGCCTTCGGCAGAAGGCGACAGAGAGAGGTTGGGGCCGTTTAGGGTTTAGGGTTTAGGGTTTGGGGTTTAGGGTTTAGGGTTTGGGGTTTAGGCTTTGGGGTTTAGGCTTTGGGGTTTAGGATTTTGGGGTTTAGGTGCCTTGGGGTGTTTGGGGTATGGGCCCGTTTAGGGTTTGGGGTTTAGGATTCTGGGGTTTAGGTGTTTAGGTCTTGGGGTTTGGGGGTTTAGGGTTTGGGGTTTGGGTTTTAGGGTTTGGGGTTTGGTGTTTAGGATTTTGGGGTTTAGGTGTTCGGGGTATGGGCCCGTTTAAGGTTTGGGGTCTAGGATTTGGGGTTTAGGTGTTTAGGTCTTGGGGTTTAGGTGTTTGGGGTATGGGCCCGTTTAGGGTTTGGGGTTCAGGATTTTGGGTTTAGGTGTTTAGGTCTTGGGGTTTGGGGGTTTAGGGTTTGAGGTTTGGGTTTTGGGTTTGGGGTTGTGGTGTTCAGGTGTTTGAGGTTTAGGGTTTGGGGTTCAGGTGTTTAGGGTTTGGTACTTGGGGGTTCAGGGTTTGGGGTTTATGCGAGAGATCATTGCAGGTTAGGTGTTTAAGGTTTGGGGTTTAGGGTATGAGGTTTAGGGTTTGGGATTTGGGGTTTTGGTTTTTTTTGCTATCAGGGTGGCGGCAAAGAACGGACTCTATTTTTCGCAGCTTGCTATAGCCGACTGAGGTCTGTTTCTGAGTTTCAATATTCTGACGGGCCTGAAGGCTGGGGTTGCTTTGGGTAGTTTAGCCCGAAACCCTAAGCCCTAGCCCCGACCAATACCCCATTCTTAAAAAAGGGGCCGGAATAATTACGAGCTGTATTCCCGTATGGCCATTCCCATATGGCCCTTGATAAATGTACTATAATCACCCCTGGCCCAAAACCCTGTTCTAAACTATTGAGGCCCCCCTATCCTAAGTACTAGGGCCCCTACACCACGAGGCCAGAAGCCGCCGCAGGAAGCAAACCTACAGAGCCCCGCAAGCGCAGCCTCAGCGGCAGATACAAGGACGGATTTCCAGGGGTCGAATGTTTTTGTTCTTTTTTATTTCTATTTTTTTTTGGGGGGGGAGAGAGAGAGGGGTTCAGGGGTTTATAATCTTTTACAAATATGGGGTTTTATAGGGTTGTTTTAGAGTTTTAAAGGGTTCAGAGGGTTGATAGGGTTGTAGGTTTGATAGGGTTTTGATAGGGGTGTATCGGGTTGATAGGGTTTAGGGTGTATAGGTTGTATAAGATAGGGTTGACAGGGTTGATAGGGTTGATAGGGTTGATAGGGTTGATGGTGTTTATAGGAGTTTATGCGAGTTTTTGGTTTTGGAAGGTTTACAGGGTTTATAGGGTTTGTCGGGTTTGGGGGTTTAGAGTGGTTCTAGGGCTTTTTTGGGGTTTTGTAAAGGTTTAGGGTGGCAAGGGTTTGTGTTGTCAGAAGTGTATAGGGGGGGGGGGGGTGCGTGGGGAGAGGTGAGTTGTATATACATATTTATTTATATATGGGCTGCGGGTACTGGTTCTAAGCACCGCGCTGCCCATGCTACTAGATGCAATTTGGACTCCTCATCTCGCAATGCAAGAGACATATAGCCCACGTCAGGCCCTTAAAAATCTAACCCTAAACCCTATTTAAACCCCAAACCTGAATCCCTAGACCCTAAGCCCTAAGCCCTAAACCCTACAACCCGAAACCCTAAACTCTACACCCTAGACTCTACACCCTAAGCCCTAAACCCTAACCCCTAAACCCTAAACCCTAAACCCTAAACCCTAAACCCTAAACCCTAAACCCCAAACCCTAGGTAGGGTGTAGGTTCTAAAGCTCCGGCCTTCGAAGCGGCTCTGTGAGGAGAAGCTGCGGCCTCGGGAGGATGCTGCCGATGGCAAGGCGGCATCCATGTGAAGTTTTAGGGGTTTAGGGTTTAGGGTAGGGTTTAGGGTTTAGGGTTTAGGGTTTCGGGTTTAGGGTTTAGGGTTTAGGGTTAAGAGTTTTTAGGGCTGATCAACAGAGGGTTCGCGGTCTTCCTCATTCATGCTTTATCGCCCACCATGTTAGAACTCAGAAAGGGCCACAAAATTCTGAGGAACGTCCATGAAAAGGGTGCCTGGGCTGTCTCTCAAGTCTTGTCTCTGGAACAGATCAAGATTCATCCCGCCAGCTTCTTGTATCAAGCGCACGAGACCATTCCCCCATCCTTGGGGGTGAAATAAGGGATACATGAACCCTGAATTCCGGGCTTGTTCATAGTTCAAAGGGCATAGGCGGCGTGCGCCTGAGTAGCAGCAGCCATGGGAGAACCTGGCCCCGAATCTGGCCTTTGGCTGACCAAAGGTGGCTTGGAGGCATGGTGGCTCATGGAGTGCAACATTGAGCTCGCGAAGCAAGGCTTCTTCAAGCAGATCCAGAACGGCTTAGACTGCGAGCTGGCAGAAGCAAAGTATCTCGACTTCGATGTAGCCAAGCGAATGGATGGTGGCTTCCCAGGAGACAATGTGAAGCGGTCCATCAAGGAGTTCAACATGCTGCTCGGAATGACGATGGGCATCCAGCGCCACCTCTACATGTTCCATGTTGGCAACAGCAAGTTTGCTCCCGAGAGGGCCATGAGTGAAACCAAAGTTGCTATTCAGCAAGTCCTTGATACCCTCGGTAGCCACTGGAGGCGGGCTTTAGCAAACAACTTGCAGAGAGACCAGGGCCTCGAGCTCCTCGAGAGGCTTGCAGGAATCCAGGAGCACGTCGCAGGCGAAGGCTGTTCTTTCCATTACCTACCAGCTAGCCGAAAGGCCAAACGCTGCCGAGCGACGCCCAACGGCTCTTGAAAGCCCGTGCGCCTAAACCCTAAACCCTAAACCAGGTCTGAGTGCAACACGATGGAGGGGAAGAACGCATCGTGTGAAAATGCGAGTACCGGGTTTCTGGCGTTGAGATTGTAAGGTCCAGGCCCTGAATACCCTACCTAAAGGCTCCTACGTAGTATCTTTTCGGGGTAATATACTAGAATCCCCTATAACTAAGCCAAAAAGGAACTACATTGGAGCCTTCAGGTAAGCCCCAAGCCCTACAGGGTTATGGATTTACGCCAGAACGAAATGAGCGAGTCAACCCTAGAGCTCTTTTGAGGAACCTCGAGGCCCTAGGGGCCCTGGATGCAAAGTTTTTCAAGGATGAGCATCCGCAGAATGAACCCTATCAAGGACCCTAATGTAGGGGCCTCAACGGCTAGAACAATCAGGGTTTTGGGGGTTTTTATCGTATGTGTATAAAGGGACCGGGGCCTTAATAGTTTGAATAGGGTTTTGGGGGTTCTTAATAGTGCATTTATAAAAAAAGGGACCCTAAGGGAAAAAATATTGGTACACAATTCCAACTCCTATATTACGCGCACGCCAGGCGTTCATTGACACGCACTGTCACCTGGATATGATCCTCCCGCGGCTCTCCAAGCAAAGCCAGAGCGTGTTCCGGATGCAATCACAGCTCGAGAAACTTCGGTGTTAAACCCTAAACCCTAAACCCTAAACCCTGAACCCTAACCCCTGAACCCTGGGCCCTGAACCCTGAACCCTGAGCCCAAAACCCGGGCAGTTTAAGAGGCTGCTGCCATGAAGATACGTCGGAGCTGCATGTTTGCCAGGGCTTGGTATGCTGCCTGCAGACAGCTTGCGGAGTAGGATGCTCAACTCTCCAATCATCTAAGGGTACGTAGTTTTATGGGCCCTTACCTTCTTCCAAAGGTTCTGAAGTATGGGCCCTTCATTTGAGGGTACTAAACGAAGGGGTCCCTCCTTTTAAGGGCCCATATGAAGGGACCATGTGACTACCCTTAGAAATCGGGACCCCCCCAATGCGCAGCTGCTACGCCTATTCAAAGCAGAGGCGGGCCTTGACCATGCGAAACTCGCGCGCCTGGAGCCACCAAAACCTCGCTCCCGGAGTCTTGTAGCTAAGCCTGAAACTCTGGTAGAACCGAAGCCCCGTTCAGTCCTACGACCGGAGTCGCACACCCCCAAACCCTGAAACCCAACCTGGCGTTCCCCAAAGAGCCCAATATACCCCATAATTACGGAACATACCTTTAATCATATCGTAAGGTTCCCTATAAATATTACATGAAATTCCTTCATGAAGGGGTATTGGGCTCCCTAAACCCTAAGCCCTAAGCCCTAAACCCTAAACCCTAATTTAGGGCTCTCTGGGTCACCCTTAAGCGCCGACAGAAGGATGCCGCGCGGGCGAAGGCGAAGGGCCAAGAGCCGCCACCCCGGATGGACGCCGACTTCGAGGCTTAGGGCTTTAGGGCTTTAGGGCTTTAGGGCTTTAGGGCTTTAGGGCTTTGGGGTTTGGGGTTTGGGGTTTAGGGTTTAGGGTTTAGGGGCGGGATCAGAACCCAAGGAGCCCAATGCCCCTTACTTAAGGACCTAAGGAATATACTTTCCACATAATTTAAGGTGTATTCCTTAATTAAGGGGTGTAAGGGATATACCCTAGTTCATATTCAGGAATCCCCATGTAGATCAAGGCATGTTCCTTTTGGGCTCTCTGGGAACCCCAGAGCCACCCATTGTCGGCTTAGCAGGTACCTGTAGACTCTACAGACCAAGAGGAGACTCTGCAGCAACGACTTTGGGGCCCAGGTTATGTAGTAATCCCTTTTAAGGCGGGTTTAGGGTTTAGGGTTTAGGGTTTAGGGTTTAGGGTTCAGGGTTCAGGGTTTAGGGTCCAGGGTTTAGGGTTTAGGGTTTAGGGTTGCGCCCAGAGACGTGTAAATGGAAGAGTTCGGAAAGCGGTTCAAGGTTGAGGGGCTGTGTATGGACCTCATATTGACCTAGGATGCCCAGTTGTGCCCTTATTATCTTTTTGCGGGGTTTCGGATTCCTTGTACACCTGTTTAAGCAACAAAGGGACGCCCTGTGTAACCCCAGGTTACTGGGCAACCTAGTGGCCTCAACCATCGAAGTATGGACTCAAACGGAAACCCTAAACCCTAAACCCTAAACCTTAAACCCTAAACCCTAAACCCTAAACCCCTCTGAAGCCCGAACCTTAAGTTGCCGAAGGAGTGGCGAAAGACACTTGATGGGCCTGAGAAAGACTTCGAGGGCTGCGTGAACATCGGCCACTTAGCTGCGAGGTTTCCCTACCAGGGAGTCTGTCGACCTTATTAGGTGGGGCGTATAGGCCTAGAGTTTAGGGTTTAGGGTCCAGAGCTTAGAGGGTTTTACACGGTTTGTGGGGTTTACAGGGCTTAGGAATGTTTTATCATGGGTTCCCCTACTACCCCCCTCTATACTACCCCCCTAAGTTCCCCCCTTAAATAACCTTAATTAGGCAAAATTCTCCCAAAATAGCCTTAAATTATGGGGGGAACCTAGGGGGGGGGGGTAGTATAGAGGGGGGTAGTAGGGGAGCCCATGATTTTAGGGCCTCTATGATGTTGTTAAGTCTGTTGGTTGACCATCAGGCCTTGTTTCTAATCGCCGAACAGCCGGCTCACAGGTTGGACCTTCTTAGTGTTTAGGGTTTAGGGTTTAGGGTTTAGGGTTTAGGGGCTGAGTTGTTTCAGTTATTTAGGGTTTAGGGTTTGGGGTTTAAGGAGTCAATGCTGGGGTGACTGGAGTCGTAAACGCTCGACCCTCGACCCTTTCTTCCCCCCACCCTGAGCCCTAAACCCCAAACCCACGTAGGGCCCTCAGAGTCACCGTTTGCTCCTTGGATCTCGGACGCCTGTAGTCCGCGGCTCTCCAACTTGGCGCCTGAGCTGCCTCTTACAAGTCCCAGAGGGCGCATGGTTTAGGGTTTAGGGTTTGGGGTTTGGGGTTTGGGGTTTGGGGTTTTTACAGACTTTTGGTCCACACCTCTCCCAAAGCGGCGTTCTGCCTGGAGCGCTCTCCTGAACGCCCACTTGGCCTCCAAGTACTCCTGAACCCTCTAGACACTCCAAACCCAATCCCTAAACCCTAAATCCCTAACCCTGGACCCTAAACCCTAAACCTTCCTGGCCATTCCTGGTGGGTTTGGTGCTCGAAAAATGGTTTGCAGCAGATAAAGACTGCAGCTATCCTACTTGCAACCTATCACCCATGAACCGCCAAGTAGGTTGCAGCGCGGCAACGCTGGATGCAGCAGCGTCCTTCTTGAAGCACGAGAAGGCGGACGATGGGTTTGTTGTTGTTTAAGTGAATACCTGAAGCCCCAAGGTATGTGAAGCAATAGCACCTTTGTTATTGGTTTTGGGGCTTTGCTGTTGCCTACTTTGGAGGGCTTAGGTATACCCACAACGGGGCGAAGTTGCTCGCGTTTGGGCAGCTGTGCCCACGGAGTGGATTGGGTTCACGTTTACATGCACCAGTCTGCACCTTGAAGCCCATTCAACAACCAACCACCAACCACCACTCACCCAACATAGGGATCGCAATACCACACACTGCCGTACACAACTCCAGAGGCTACACCGTCACTACACCAAGCGCTGCGACCAGTCGAGTCTTGCATGTAGGCATTTGAAAGCTGCAGTAGACGGACAGCGTCATGCTCCACCGCAGCGATTTTGTTCCAGAGGGGTGTGAGCAAAGATCAGATATTCCGTTGCGCCTAGAGTCGTCCTGCTGCAGTGAAAGGACTGTCAGCCATGGCAGGCAAGCATGTTGTTGTGATTGGCCACGGCCCCATCGGCCACGCCTTCATTGAGAAGCTTGCTGAGAGGGAGGCCGGATTCACAATCACCGTGCTTTGTGAGGAGCCGCGTCCAGCATACAATCGCGTCATGCTGACACAGTACTTCCTGGACCGAGATGCCGACAAGCATGACCAGATGAAGTTGTCCTACTGGAGCGAAGAGGACTTGAAGAGTAAGAACGTGAAGCTTGTCTACGGCCGCGCAACCAGCATCGACCGTGACAGCAAGTCGGTCGCATATTCCAAAGTCAGCCACGGCGGAAGCTCTGCCGATGCAGAGGCAGATTCCGTACCTTACATCGCCTTTAGTTGAACTTTAAACTTTTTGGGCTTCCTTATTTAGTAGGAATATTAAAGGTTAACCTTTTTCCCCTTGGTTTATTGGAGAAGTAAGGTACAGTACGACGTCCTCGTGCTTTGCACCGGCAGCTTCTGCTTTGTTCCTCCAACTCCCGGCTTCGTCTTGCCGGAGAAGAAGAACCCACAGTGGCCGGATGACCCTGCCTCCCGCCCGGAAGGCGTCTTCGTGTACAGGACTTGGGGGATGTACCCCCCCCCCCCGTACATTAACAGTCCTTAAGAGGGATTGTTATAGTAGGGAGGTACTATAATTCCGTTTATAAGGAACTGTTCGTAGAAGGGGGAGCATCCCAGAATTCAGGACCATCGAGGATCTTGAGGCTCTCATCGCGGCAGCAAAGAATTCCAAGCGCGCGGCCGTGATCGGAGGCGGCCTCTTGGGCCTCGAGGCAGCGAAAGCCGTGTTTGATCTCGAGATGGAAAGCCACGTAGCTTGGGAGCCCAGTGGTACACTTTTTTTTTTTTTTTTTTTTTTTTTTTTTTTTTTTTCCCTTATAAAGTTTATCAGATGCATACTGGGCTACCCTAAACCCTAAACCCTAAACCCTAAACCCTAAACCCTAAACCCTAAACCCTAAACCCTAAACCCTAAACCCTAAACCCTAAACCCTAAACCCTAAGCCAAGGTCGTGGAGATGGCCCCCTACTTGATGCCCACGCAGCTGAACGAGGAAGCGGGCCGGGCCCTGGAGCGGAAGATCAGCAACTCGGATGCCCCAGTTTAGGGTTTAGGGTTTAGGTTTCAGGGTTTCAGGGTTTCAGGGTTTCAGGGTTTCAGGGTTTC